CCCACAGGGCAGGGAGCAAGGAGTGGGCAGGATGCAGAAACCAAGGCCTGTAAACCTGGCAACTGGGCGTCCCCCTCTGGCAGGGCTGGGGGGTGGGGCTTGGCACGGCTGAGGTGTGGGAGGCTGCAGATTGGGAGCGAGGGCCACCAGCAGGGCCAGGGGGCTACAGGTCAGGAGCAAGGGGCACCGGCATGGCCAGAAGGGCAGTAGGGGACGGTGGGTCAGGAATAAGAGGCTGTGGCTTAGGAGTGAGGGTCAATGGCATGGACAGAGGCAAAGCATTGGCATATCAGGGCTGCTCAGCACCAAAGCAGCCAGGGGGACAGCTGCAGGTGGACCCATGTCCTGCTGAGCAAAGGGGGCGGGGGAGCTGTGGTTTTCTATGATAAAAAAACCCAAAATCAAAATGTCAAAACATACAGGTATTTAGAATGTATTGTATTATAATGATTAAAGGCACTGGTAGGCTTCTTGTTTTAAAGTTGTAAATATATCAATAAAATATCATGCGTGTGCGCGTGCACACATGCATGTGTACATGCTGGCCATGATGCCCCCTAGTAGCCCCATGACTATGCCTTGCACCGCACCTAGGGTGCTCTCTCCTGCCACACCTTGATGGATTATAGATTAATAGGAAGGCTGCCGCCAGAACTTTGCTAGGACTTGATTCTACTGGTCTCAGGCCCCTGGCTGGGCCTTTATAATCAACGATGCCCAGCAGGGCACCCAAAGCCTTATGGGTTAATTGCATGGCTCTGTAACCTCCTCTTTACCATGCCCCATGCCAGTGGTGATGCATAGGGGGTGCACATGAATCCCCTGAAAGCCAGTGTTCCCTGCTTAGGCGATGGGCAGTGGGGGCAGGCAGGAGCGCTGGTGCCCCCCTCGAGAGTGCCGGCCAGGGAGTGGGAGCGCCAGGAGAAGCGCTGCTGGCACTTCCAGGTCAGCGTGACTGGCCGTGGGGGAACCCCCACCCCGGTTGCTGACTGGCCACTGGGGGGGCAGACAAGTGCCCCCTGACTTGAGAGGCTGCAGTCACCCATGCCACATGCCTCACGAGTGTTACCAGTATGATGTCCCTTTGTTGGGGCCTCAGCCTCCTCAGCCTCTGCCCCTTCTAGGCCCACTGGATAGGACTTGGCTGAAAGGCACTAGCCTCCCCTGGCTCCTCTGTGTGTGTGTGTGTGCCCTCACTGGCATTGGGCCCTTGGCCCCTTTGTAGCTCACTTAGGGCTCAAGGCAATCAAGTGCCCTCCTGGGCACCAATGAGGTCTCCCCTACAGCCTGTTCCACAAACCACTGGTGCACATAACATAAATAATAACATGCAGCAGCCTTCTGCCCATTTAGGAATATAGGCCTCTACTAACCCGGTGTCCTGGGCTCCCCTGGGCAGGAGCTCCTTCCCTGGTGGCAGCCAGGGAAAGACTGCCCCTACTAGCCCCAGCCCTGGGTTTAAATGCTCTCCTGGTACTGACTGCATCCAGTCACCAGTTGGCCAATTACCTCATTAGCCAATCATCCTGGCAACCTGCAGCTGCGGCACCCTGGTAATTTGCCCCATTTTGCCTTTTTATCTCTTGGGATGCGACACATCTGAAAAATTCAGACTGGTCTTGTAAGTGCCTCCAGCACATGCTTCAGCATGCTCACAATTAAGCACCTGGCTTCAGGAGAGTTACTCAGGGAAACGTAATTAGGCTCTTGGACTCCCTATGCAGTTAATGGAAAAGGTTAAGCATCTCTGGAGGCCTGAGCCACAAAAACTACCATACTCCAGCATACTCAATTATTTACACATTCATGTATTGGTGCCGAGAGTGCTTGACTTAGGGCTGCATGTTCAGAGCTGCCATCTACCTGAGATCCACAGCCTTGAGTCATCTTTTAAGAGAAGGTGCCTAACTATGTCAGGCTTAATTAGTTGGGGTGCTGCTGTAAATGTCTATCTTCTGCATTATAGTATATGGCAACAGCAACAAACCAGAATTCGATGCTAGGATATCCTTAGCCTATAGGCTTCAAATCCACATCATCCACTTCCTAGGAGAATGCACTAACCATCAGGATATAGCAGTCACAGGTGGCCTCTCTTGATATTGGGCCACTGTTCAGTTAAGAATACTTAAGTCATGGAACAAGAAGGAGAGAAACAAGAGATAATCCAACCCCTCAATACAGTGTCTATAACACTCAGGTGAGGATGGGGGGGCAGGAAGGAGACCTGGGTGCTAGCCTGAACTCTCAGAATTGCAATAGAATCACATCTTACGCAGGGGTTAGGTTTTGAAGTCAGCGAATAAGGTGAAAATCACGTAAAATAGGCAACTATACATGGGGTGGGAAGGGGGGGCGGGGCTTGAGTTTGCATGCAGCGTTGTGCTTAGAGCCATGTGGCCAGCAGCACCGGCGCAGCGCGGGGTGGTGGTGGGGATGGCTGTGTGCTGCCCAGCCACCACCATGCTGCCGCTGCCGCCTGGCCACACAGCTCCGGGCACGGCTCCATGGCAACAGCGGGAGGTTTTGGAGGCAGTGGCCGTCACCGCCATAATGGGCCTCCAGGTAAGCGGCAGTGCCACGTGCAAACCCAAGGTCTGCCCCCCCTCCCACCCCGTGTATAGCTGAATTTGCGCAAGTTAAATGCACGTAAGATGCAACACGCCAGTATTTGTAGTTTTCATCCAATGACTGTCTAATGTAAGATGCATCAACAATCCTGGCAGCAAAGGCTGAAACTCAGACCTTCCTCTGAGCTTAGTGTCCTATTCAAACTATGGAGTCAGACACTCTCTTGCTCACTCTGCTTCTGGCCCCTAGCTCTTGTATGCTTGGCTTCACAGTGGCCCCACTTCAGCAGGGCTCATTAAGTTAACCCCCAATCCAGACTATTTTATAGCCTGATGTTTAGGTTTCTCTTATGGGAGATGAAGTTTTGAAACTCCTGAGGAATGCCTAGGACCTATGTCTCCTGCTTCCTGGCAACTGCTCCAACCTCCAGGCCCCAGGGGGGCATACAACCAGTGGAGGGGGGCGTACAACCAGTGGAAGGGAGGAGCTATCACCAAGGAGGAGTACTCCTCCTCGGCCCGGGAGTGTAGGAAGGCTATTAGGAAGGCCAAGGTAGAGATGGAACTCAGGCTAGCATCCAGGATTAAGGACAACAAAAAGTCCTTTTTCAAGTACATTGGGAGCAAGAAGAGGGCACCAGGCAATGTAGGGGCCCTGAAAGACACAAATGGTAATCTTTGGGCTACGTCAGACATCAATGCTGATATTTTTAACAGTTTCTTTGCCTCTGTTTTCTTGAGGTAGGGACAATCTTGGGGATAGCTCTATCAGGCCTTCAGTCAGCACAGATGTAGTTAGGGATCTTCTGGAAGGGCTAGACATTTTTAAATCTGCAGTTCTAGATGCCCTCCACCCAAGGGTGTTGAGGGAGCTGGCAGGGGTCATCGCAGAGCCCTTGGCCCGGCTGTATGAGCATTCACGGTCATCTGGCCAGGTGTCAGGGGATTGGAAACTGGCTAATGTAGTCCCAATTTTCAAGAAGGGGAGGAAGGAGGACCCAAGTAACTATAGGCCTGTAAACCTCACCTTGGTGCTTCGGAAGATCTTGGAGAGAATCATCAAGGAACACATCTGTGGGGGGCCTGCAGGGGAGATCATGCTCAGGGGCAATCAGCATGGGTTTATCAAAGGCAAGTCCTGCCAGACCAACCTGGCCAAGTAACTAAATCCTTGGATGATGGTGTCGCTGTGGATGTAGTCTTTCTA